GCACCATTGACACCATTGAATTAACATGTAACATTTCTACAGTCATCCTCGCTGCACACGCTGGAGCGCGTCAGAAGGGGGGGGGGATGCTGGCTTTCGCGCTGCTTCAGCTGTTCTCCACAAATTGTTGAGGTCCACTAACATGCCCCAGCGTCTCCAGCGAAAATGGCATATTTCCATGCCATTGAATCTGTATATTGTAGTTCTGTTCTAAATACTGAATAAAACACTTTGAAGGTTATCTGCGATCGTTTTGTTATTCTTAAATTCTATGACAGTAACTTGTAGAAAGTGTTTCGAAGGCGTTCAGTATTGCTACGTACGAATGGAACAAGAATGCATGGTGCATCGTAAAAGGGTTGAACAACGGTGAAGGCATTTTTTCCGTGAGGAAGGCCGGCATCCTAAGACAGGAAGTGTAACATAAAAATTCTCATCTTAAAGGCAGTTGGCACGATAAATGTAGAAGGCGTGTGGGATCAATACACTTAGCATGGTGGAGTTCATCCACTGAGCTGCGTGGCGCATTTTCTTAGGAAGATACCCTTATAGCGCTCTACGAAGCTGCAAGTAACGGTGGGGATGCTTGCCACGCCCATCCGCCCACGAATGTCCGATCGATGCTGATACTCGCTTCGCTTCGTTTGGGGACTACAACCTGAAGCGAAGGGACTGGTATAAAGCGGTTGGTGCTGTGCGGATGTTACGTACATGCAGGCGCATGCACCGTAGAGTTCTTGGGCCGATGCCAACGGATAACTCGACCGAAAACGCTTTCTGGGTCATGTAAAAAGATCTCTCGCAAGTTTCTGACTGTCTCACTTTGCTTTTTCGTAATTTCTTTTCGTTGCATCCCTGCTACCATTCTAGACCGACTGCCTAATTATCATTCCTAATGACTTTAAGTCCGTCCGAGCAGCCACCGAAGGAGAACACCAGGCAGATTATGGAGACGATGTGTTGTTCTTCTGTTTTTGCCAACGAGGTTTGTAGGTAGAAACTTTTATCCGGCCAACATTTCAACCTGTTTGTCGTCGTCAAAGACCTGAACATCGCTTAAGAATTGCACGCTCTCCCATCGAACGCCTTGTCCTCTCTAGCAGAAATGCTGGACACTACGGAGAATTCGGAGTGAAA